ATATTTTAGTAAAAAATATTAGACTTTTGTGTGCATCAAAAAGATCTGTTTTCTGTAACTACGCTTTACAAAACTTTGAATTAAAAAATTGAATTAATATAAATAAATAAAAGAATTAAAACTAAAAAAAACTGTTTCAAGCCATAACTATTTTTTTCTAATTTTTTATTTAATTTATTATTACTCAAATTAAATATATTATTTAAAAAATTATTAATATTAAAAAAAATTTATAAAGGAAAATAATATGCAAATCAAAAAAATATTAAAAAGACAAACAATTTAAAAATAATGAAAAATCATATAAATGAAAAAAATAATAAAAAATTCTTAAAAACAGAAACATCTTAAAAAACAAAGAAATATTAAAAAATAAAAAAATCTCAAAACCAGAAAAGCATTTAAAAAAAATTAAAATAAAGAGTTTAATAAAATAAAATATGAAAGATTTGAAAAAAATTAGCAAACAATATAACAACAAAAATATTAAAAATAATAAAAAATAATAATAATAAAGCAATAAAAAATAAAATAATAAAACAATAAAAAAATAATAAAACAATAAAAAATAATAAAAATAATAATAAAAATAAAAAATCTAAAATATAAAATGATAATAATAAAATTATAAAGTTATGAAAAAATAATAAAAACAAAAAAATACTAATAAAAAGATAACAAAAAAATAATAATATAAAAAATAAAAAGATATTAAAAAAATAAAAAAATATTAAAAAAATAAAAAAATAAAAAAAAAATGTAAAAAAAAATAAAAAAATAAAAAAAAAATGTAAAAAAAAATAAAAAAAAATAATAAAATTATAAGAAAAAAAAATAATAAAATTATAAGAAAAAAAAAATAATAAAATTATAAGAAAAAAAAATAATAAAATTATAAGAAAAAAAAATAATAAAATTATAAGAAAAAAAATAATAAAATTATAAGAAAAATAAAATTATAAAAAAATAATAAAATTATAAAAAAATAATAAAATTATAAAAAAAAAATAATAAAATTATAAAAAAAATAATAAGATTATAAAAAAATAATAAAATTATAAAAAAAAAATAATAAAATTGTAAAAAAAAATAAAATTATAAAAAAATAACAAAATTATAAAAAAAATAATAACATTATAAAAAAAAAATAAAAAAATTTAAAAAAAAAATAAAATTATAAAAAATTAACAAAATTATAAAAAAAATAATAACATTATAAAAAAAATAAAAAAATAATAAAATTATAAAAAAATAATAAAATTATAAAAAAATAATAAAATTATAAAACAATAATAAAATTATAAAAAAAAAAAAATTATAAAACAATAATAAAATTATAAAAAAATAATAAAATTATAAAAAAATAAGAAAAAAATAATGAAAAAGAATAATGAAAAAAAATAATAATAAAAAATAATAATAAAAAATAATAATAAAAAATAATAAAAAATAAATGATAAAATAAATAAATAATAAAAACAATAAAAATATTTAAAACTATAATAAAAATAATGCAAAATTAATGCAAAAAATATAAAATAATAATAAAAAAATATAAAAAGTAATAAAAAATATAAAAAGTAATAATAAATAATAGAAAAAAATAAAAAAATAATACAAAAACTATTAAAAGAATAAAAAAATAAGAAGAGATAAGTGAAATATAAAAAAAATGTTATCTTTTATTTTTGAAAAAATTTAGAAAACATAATAAAGAAAATCATAAAAGTAATAAAACATACATACATAATAAAAAACAAAATAATAAAAAATAAATAAATAAATAATTTTTTTTTAAATTTTATAAATTTGGAAAAATTATAGAAAATTAAAAAAAAGTTATAGATAATTGAAAAACTATTTTAAAAAAATAAATAAATGGCAGAAATAATAGAAAGAAAGTAAAGAAATTAATAAAAATAAATATAAAATAAAGAGTTTAAAAATAAATAAATCCTCAAATTTTTATTTTGTTTAAATATTTTTTTTAATTAGAATTATTAATTTTTTTCTGGATTCATTTATTATTTTTTATTTCAAAACATTTTGCATATAGTTTGTTTTTGTGCTTGCAAAATTATTTCTCTTTTTTAATTTTAGATTTTCCCTATTTATTATTATATTTATATTTTAATTTATTTTTTGCTTTATTATTTTCAATTTCATTTTTGATATCAAATTTTTCACAAATCAACAGATAATACGATATTAACCTGAAGAATACATATGTACATACATACATAAGCACTAATTAAGAATTATTAAAGTAAATACATATGTATTTATATAAAAGAAAATGCAAATATTAAATAAATAAGCTTAAAACAACATATATATACACGTTCATTTCACATATATTGTATGTTTGTATATGTGTATAACCCTTATGGGCAACAATAATGCAATTGTGTATCTGCTTGTAACAACACAGTCATACATACATATGTATGTTTGTATGTATGTATATGTATGATTGTACTAAAATATTTACATATGTATGTATTTGTAAAAAAAAAGAAACATATTTATGCAGGTCACACCTCTGCGTAAATTCATATAGTAAAAGTAAAAGTAAAAAAAAAGTAAATATTCTCATTCACACCACGTCATATTAAGTATGTATACATTTACTTACAACACCAACCACTCCCAAAGTATTTTACATACAGAATTAAATATAAAATAAATAAATATTGAAAATTTTCGAATAAAAGTTTGATGAAAATAATTATAATAATTTTTTTTTTGTCAAATGACGAGTTAAGGTGAGTACCCATTTGAGCATTTGAATGCTCTATTGAGCTTTCATAATGACATACTGTTGGAAAATATTTATTTTTCATACAAAATTATTTTGATAAATTTATTATCATACAATTTATTTTATTACAGTTTTCGTATTTTTTAATGCAATATCTATTTTTTATTTCATTTATTAGTTTTTTTTTATATAAAATGTTCTAATATAAATATTTATTTATTTTATAATTATTTTTTTTGTTAATTTATTTTAAATATAAAATATTCTTTATATATTAATTATAAAATATCTTATTAAGCTTTTAACATAATTATTTATAATTATATTATTAATTACGTTATTATTTTTATTTATTTTATAATTCCTTATTGTTTCTTTTAATTTTTTAATACAAAATATTACTGAACTATTAATATTATACAATATGTTTTATAATACTTTTACAGTTTTTTGTTTGTTTTTATGTAGTGCTTGTTTTATTTATTTTTTGTTAAATTCTTTAATGTAAAATATTTAATTTTTTTTTAATATTTCATACAAATACTAATAATTATATTAATTTTTTATTTTAATTATTGAATTCTTATTAAATTTGAAATAAAAAATATTGATACATTAAATATTTTTCTAATTTATCAATCTTTATGCAATATTTATTATTTACTAAGTTTTTTGTGCAAAATTATATTTACTCTATATATATATATATATAATTTTGTACAAAAATCTTAGTAAATAATAAATATTGCATAAAGATTAATAAATTAAAATACTTAATGGATCAATATTTTTATTAAAAAATTTGATTAGAATTCAATAAACAAAATAAAAAATTAATATAATTATTATAACTGTATTTTCATATTAATTAGACCCATAATTTTTCTATTAAATTTTTTAATACAAATTATTAATTTCTAAATATATTTTTAAATTATATTTTTAAATATATTTTTAAAATTTCATTTATTTTTTTATTCTATTTATCTATTATTGAACTTTTTATGAAGAATATTTTGTATTAAAAAATTGAAATATTGTATATTATATTTTATTGAAATTATATTATTTATGTAAATATTCTTTTTATTTACTCCTTATTTTTATGAAATATTTATTCTATTAATTTTTATTCAATTTATTTATTTGTCTAATTTTAATTCAAAATATTTTTTATAATTATTATTAATTATAATTGTTAAATATTTTTTATTATTTACGAGTCTGGTTTTTTTTATTTATTTTTTGTTTCGTATTTTTTCTTTTCGTGTGGTAAAATATATGGAATAAAATTTAAATATTTTTAAGACAAAATATGCTTGATGTAATGTTGCTTTTCATGATTATTTTTGTATTATTTATTATTTATTAATATTTATTATTATTTTGGTGCATTAAATTGAATTATATTATATATATATTTTTTTTTTAATTTTAATATTAGGTTTAAACATTTTTTCAATAATAATCCCATATTTTACATCAATGTGTGGTATGAAACAAAAGACTTAAGCAACGAACCCGCTCTCGCTTGTTTCTATTTTATTTAAAATCTTTTGTATTGTAGTTATTGAAAATTAATTTTTTATTTACCTATTTTTCTGTACTTTGTATGAAATTTTGATTTTTTTTTTAAGATTACGGTTAAAATTTCTTAAATATGCTTATTCTATTTTTCAAGTCTATATAAGATATTTTTTTAATCAACCCATTGTGAGTACTTACATGCCGTGCCTGCACAAAAAAAATATTTACAATATTTGTGTTTTTTGTTTTCAATTTCCATTCACTTTCTTTATTGCTTTGATTTTTCTTAGTTACATTTTGAGTAGTTGTTTTTTTTTTTACTTCTTAGCATAACTTATTCATAATGTACATAATTACATGTGTACGAATCTAGGTTCTCAATTGTACTTAGTCTTGTCTGTATTTTGTTAAGATTGGTTTGGTTTCCTCATTAATTCATGAATAATGCGGTAAACTAAATTTGAGAATTTTCCGCACTGAAAAATGGCAACATTGCCAAATTATTTGTTATGCTATAGACCTGCCTTATGGTGGCTCAGATTTCAACAGCTAACAAGTTAAATTAAAAGCCTCTGCCTTACACTCTTGCTCTTTGGGACTGAGTTGAGAAAGCAATTAAGTAATTTAATGTAAAAAAAATCGACTATTTATATTTATATTTAATTTACTGACTAGAAAAAAAATATATATTTTTTTTAATTTTTGTAAAAACCAATGAGAAAAAAAACAGAGAGTCTACAACATAATAATAATTTAAATTAAATTGAAGTTAGAGACTTGAGACGACATTGTTTGGTCGAGTTGGCGCCAAGGACCAACAAGGACGTTTGCCAGAAATTTAGCTACGAATATAAACTTTTCAATGCCTATCGATTTTCGATAAATAAATGTGAGGATTAAGCGTAGAAGAAAGGTTGTGAGCCTTAATGTCGTTAGAGATGCCGAAGTGGGATTATCGTCGCCAAAATAGAGTTATTGTGATTCACGAAATTTGTCTTGACTTACGCAAGCTGCAGTGAACTGAAAAATCTGTGAGAGACTCCAAAGCATTTACGCAATCTTTCCGAATTTAATATACCCAGCTCTGAAAGTTTTGGATGAAATCATCGATGATGGAAACTGCAAAGACTAGGTGAACGTTGACTTGACTTCACTTTGTGACTCGAAAAGGTTTCAGAAGCAACCATCAGCCATCCTTCTATCACAATTATTTGTCTTAAAGGTGTTTAGAGGGAATCAACAACCGACTCAACCGTTCAGACAGCTTATTGTAAGAAAAGTTCGGTAGATACCGTGCTGCATTCTTAAATTTGAGAGTCATTTTCATTTTATAATCTACTTCAGAACAGAACTGTCTTATCGGAGGTGTAATGTACTATCTGTGATTATCATAGAGACAACAGAGATACCCTATAGACAATTGTCTTCTCTGCTCTGCGCGCTGTGTGCCAAGTACATGAAATATATACTGGATAAATTGGTGGAGTATGGTTGTCTGGGAATTGTCTATGCAGACAACGTGGAGGAATTTAGGAGCATGGACGCCTTTGAAAGCATATGAAAAGTATTGCGTGCTACTATGCGAAAGTTAATGGGCTTGAATCCTGTCTAGATGAAAATCCAGAAATAGTCAGGTCATAAAAATTCGTCAGCGTCTTTAAATTTCACAAATTGGACGCACTTTCGGTGACTTGACCCAAAACGAGATTGCCAGCGAAGTCGATTTTCATAAGAAAATTTTGTTTTCAGCGAGGAAGCTCAGCTTTGGTTGAATGGATACGCCAATAAACATTATAGACCCATTTGGAGTGCTGATAATCCACAAGCCATTGTGGTAGCAACGTTACATCTTCAAATGGCCATTATTTTTCTTTAGGAATGTAGTGTGCTATAGAGTCACGATGACTGACTTTTTCGTGCCTCAATTGGAGGCTGTTGTTGTGGACGAGTTTTCGGTTCCGACAACAAGGCGCTACATGCCATACAGCCAACGAAACAAGCAATTTTTTGAAACAAACCTTTTCAGAGCACATTCTCTCGCGTCGTGAGCCTGTGGCCTCCAAGGTCGGACTATTTTTTGTGCGATTATGTATAGTCACTTGTTTACACAGATAAGCTCTAGACGATTGTCGCTTTGGAAGCGGCTCAATTGCTGGAAAAGCCGATCGCATTTTGGGCCTCTCGACTGCAATTAATTTCAGCCAGTAATGGCGAACTCTTATCTTTATATCTAAACCAAATTATTAACCACAGCATTAAATTTGATTTCTTCACCTCGAGCTACAATGTGAGACCCGCGTCATATTAGCGCAACTTAGCCCTAAGTACTACTTTGCTGTAGTCGGTTGAACTCCTAGAAAATTAGACTCGATCCCGACGTATCTAATGTACAAAATGCTCCATAAAATAAGTCTCCGCGTAACAATAATCGTCTGTTCGAAACCTGAAAACCACAAACTTTCGTTTTTGACCGAACCCCCATAATCTTCGTTCCCTTTAACTGAGTAGGAGACTATTGTGACAGCTCTCAGATGGAGCGCGTTAGAGCAATGAAATGCGGAGTAGTCTCACAGCAAGTTTATACAGGCGGCTTTCTGAGAAGCGCGAAGTGATCTCGTCGATATCGTCAACCCAAAGCGATGAAATTTCGTAGAAAATTCAATAACATTTTTTCTAATTTTTTTTTTTTTACTTAAAATATTCGTCGGTTTTGGTTTTTGTAGAATTATGAGTGTTTCTATCTTTTTGTTATATTCAACTGTATAAATATCTTCAATTTTTCTTTGTTTCCTCTATTTGTTATATCCTTGTTAAACTTGTTATTTCTTCACTTAAAAGGTTTTATAAAAAAATATTAGTGTAAATCAAGTCGGTGCACGTACATACAAACGTACATATCCATATGTGTCCCCGCGCCTTTGAACGCTCTCAACTAAGGCAACCGTTTTACAGTGTTTTTTTTTTCTAATATAATAAATTTATGCACTTTTTTGATTATAACCGTACTCTGCATTTTGCAATAATTTTGATTAATTTTTTTTTCATTACGTTTGCCTAAAAATACGTTTGTTGTTGTTGTGAAACACTAAAAATACTTCTTTGTCTTTGAATGAGTTTATTTTTTGGTGCCTTTGATCCTTTTTTTGCTCTCTCTCTCTCTCTCTTTCTCCCTTCTCTGACTCTCTAATCTCTGCAATTTTTGCAAACTCTGCTTTGTCTCACTCCACTCTCTCTGCTCTGTGTCTCTCCGCTCTTCCTCCCTGCCCTTCCTCTCGCTCTCTTCTCCTACTCACACGCAATTTTACCATCGAAACTGCTCAACGCTATGGCAAATGCTTGCAATGCACACAGCGGATAACGATAATCCATTGTGAATACATCCTCAGAGGTGCGTCCAAATTGCATCACAATGTAGTCAGGATCTGAATCATGTACGAGTTGAAAATTCTTAACCGATGCTTGTGTGACGCGTCCATGAAAATTCAGCACATACGATTGTGTCTCATCATTCCAGACGGGCGTTTTGTTATGCAGCTCCACAATGGTGTCCATATTCTGTAAGTAGGTTAGAGGTTGAATATGCCAGAGTGTTGTAGCTGATAATGAAGAAGTGGTAAACAATGAGACTCATACCTTCACCTTCCACAAATCGAGTATACCCTGTTGCTTGGGATCGGCCGAACTGATTTTGACGCGCTGATCTTCCTCCGTCATGCCGGGCAGTATGACTGTCATATTGCGTGGTCCTTTGAAACCGAGTATGTTGGTGTCCTGAAAAGGGGGAGCAGTGCGGAAAGTTATCGGAACGTATGTGGAACATAATATGTCTTAATTAAGTGCAGAAAAAAAACATGTTATTTGTAATTTACGATGGAAAGATTAATTTCAGAAGCTTTTTAGGGTTTGCTCCCTTTCAATTGCAATGGAAGAACGATCAACAAGCCTTCATTTAGGCAACTTCTCTTAGTAATAATTGTCGGTTGCTCATATTTCTGTCTGAGGTTCGGTGCATCCCGCGAGATAAGCTCCAATACGGTTACTGATTGTAAGACAACTGAGTTTTAGTTTCGTAGTCCTCATGAGCCCATGAGCAGCCCTTGAAAGGAGCTGTTTCAACAGTCTTGGATCAAAATAAAAGAACCTTTAGAGGATCAGATCTAAGCGAGCATGCGAACAGACGATTAGTGTCACGCGGAGACTTATTTTATGTAGAGCATTTTGTACATTAGATACGTCGGGATCGAGTCTAGTTTTCTAGGAGTTCAACCGACTACAGCAAAGTAGTAGTTATGGCTAAGTTGCGCTAATATGACGCGGGTCTCACATTGTAGCTCGAGATTTTCGGCCGCTATAAATGGTGGTTGGATTCCGATGAGGACGAGAGTCGCTGAAGGTGTTAATTGACTTTCTATGAAGGATATGTAAGTACGACCATTAGTACGCCGTCGCCCGCAGTTCTGTTTGTATATTCGCGTATTGCATTCCTGAAATGCCTAGGATGGAACCTGTTTCGAGCAGGTGTCTGCAATCGTGATCCATACGGTAGCATACTGCTTGTGCAGCACAGAATTTTATTGGGGGCAGAGAAATTTTCGTAACACAGAGAGTGTACAGGTGACGTTAAGTCTTCAAGGTGCGCTCTGACAGATTTGCGGATTCACTTCGCTGCCCTGGCTAGCTTTTTAGGCTGCTCTCACACGTGGACTCCGCTACAAGGAATTATTCTGAAACTCGCATCTCTTTCGCATCAATGCTGACCTCGGATGCTCTAAAAATACGTGTTTACCCTATATGAGCCACTAGAACTTCTAACAGGATGCTTTATGGTTTTGCAAAGGCGACTAGAGGACTTCTGGCGTTTGTTTTAAGAGACCTAGACGAACCAACTACGTAATAGCAACTTGATCAGTTTCATTCATTTAAGTAGAGGTGCTCATTTTATAGTCCAAGTCAACCTACACTAAGTTGAAGACATTCTTATGTAAAAGATTGATCCAACGTATAGCATTTCTCTAGCTTGAAGTAGACATCAAGGACTCTGATAAACTTAGAGGCAATATATCCAGTCTCTTCGAGCTTGCATATTATCGTTACAGTCACTAAACGGCCGGCCGTCCGCCTGTGCCAGCTACGTTTTAAGTGGTTCACCGTCTTATGTGTTCTTGTAGCGTCTAACACTTTACGCAGCATTTAATGGCGTTGAAAGATCCGAAGGTCGACTGCCCGAAGATACTCTTCTCAACGTATGCTAGTTCGGCCGCTTTTACAATGCCTTATATACTCATCTAACTCTTGATCGATAGTCCAGTTGATAAGTTACAGATCGACCTCCAGCTGAGGTTATCGGGATGGTTGAGATGACTGGACCCCCTTTATTCAACATAACCTGACACAGTGCAGGGAGGAATGGAATACTTATGGTTACCTATGCACTCCCACTCGCCCGAAGGCACGGCACGCATAACTTTAACTCTACCTAACGCTACCTGAGGCATACTTACATAAATGATAACCGCCAAATCGAGACGTGGATTCTCCGTACTATCTTTACTGCCGTTATCGAATACTGTAAAAGAGGTACCGAACACATTTGAGCGTAACTTGCCGCAGAAACCCTCCGCATTACGTGACAGGTCCGTAGGATCGCAGCTAATTATATAATTTGATGTTTTGCTCTTCTTCCGTTTGCGACCTGAAAAAAACCAAGTGTGATAAGAATCACTGCGCGAAATCTACTGTACCACCAACTTACCACCCAACAGAAATATTTTCTTGCCATAATCCCGCTCCAAATGTAAATAGTAGATCGGAAAGAGACCACGATCCATACCCTTACGATCACGTGTGATGCGACACTTGAAGAGCACACCCTGCGCCGCCGGTTGCATGACAAACTGTTCGATGTTGCCGACGAGATCGCCTTCCGGTTCACCGCCAGCGTCAGCTCCAGTTTCTTGAGCACTGTTCGAATAGTTGGCAGTGTTGTTGGCCGAACCGGCCGAGTGCGCCGATGAGTTACGTACCGCACCGGCTATCGATTTTGTGTTAGTATTGGTGGTGATGGCGCTGTTCGTTTGAGATGCAATACTGTGATTCAAGGGCATAATGGGTGCCGCCTCTTCTATGGTATTACGATTCGCATAATCATCTTCGTCCAGTGTGCTGCTATCCTGTTCGTGACTGTATGAACGTTGTTGATGTTGGTGCAATTGCTGTTGCTGGCGTTGTCTTTGGCGTTGTCCATTGGTGGCGACATGATTGACGGGACTACTTTCGTCATCCTCCAGGTCGTGTGAGGAGATCTCCTCAATCAAATCTAGCGGCATGTGAGAGAAAGAGTTAAGTAAACTTTCGTCTTCTTATTTCTTCTTTATTATACGAGTACTTACCATCCTGATTGCTACTGAGGTTATGTCCGGTCATCTGTGTTGTGCGCGAGCGCATGCTATTCGCTATGCTGCTATGTGGGCGGCCATTTGAGCCCGTAGTCGAATGGTTGCTTGTCGAGATGGCGGTGGTATACATAGAGTTTGTGTTGGTGTTGGTGTTTATGTTGGTGGTGGCGGCGGCGGTGCTGGTGGTATTACTTAGTAACTGGTCGGGGTTGTGTGGGGAGCTGATGAATTGCATTGGACCGTCGTAGGCGTGCAGCTCACGGCTATTGGCCGTCGATGTGCGTAGCCCAGACATAGGACGGGTTATTTGTAAGTCACTGGCCTGCACCATGCCGGGTGAGGCGCGCTTTTGTCGTATGTAGGCCTCCATTAGCAGGCGCTGAAAAGAAGAGAAGAATGAAAGTCGGTAAATAACAAGGTTATAAAAATGAGATGCATTAAGTTGAGGAAAAGAATATTAAAGTGGAGCTTCAAGAGTTTCTGTCTAGTTTCGATCTAGTTCAAAGAGGGAGGAGAGCGCATTCTTGAAAAGAGTCCCTCTCTTGTTGGCGCTGATGAAAAATTTAATATGGATTTCGATTTCTACCAAGTCAAGGTCGGACTTTGGCTTCTCGAAAATAATATCGTCTCCGGTGCCGCTCCGTTCCTTTACAGTGAATTTCTATAAGGTCGTTCAAGCTCTTTTCATTCGTAAAAAGAATGACAGGACTGCATATCCATTACGAGTTCCACAAAGTCGGGAGCAGATTTTGGTTTCTTTACGGCAAATTCAAGAACTTCGGTGCTGCTCAGCTTCTATAAAGTAATCCATGGCCAAATCTTCTGTTCGGTTTTAGAGCCGTTCCAAGTTCAAATTTCCATAAAGCAGCTACAGTAACTTTCCTGCGGATTTCGTCATACAAACTTATTTGCGCTCTCGGCTAACGTTTCAATTAAGCACATAAAATATGTCGCCTTCTACAAGGGTAACTAAAGAACTTTAATGTAGATTCTAGTTCCAATGCTGTTGGCTTCGTTTTCAGCTTCGGCTAAGGCTTCGACTTCTGTAAAGTAAAATGAAAATGTTCACTTGAGCTCCCGACTCGGACTTCAATAGAGTAAATTGTCTATGGCGTGGGTTTCGGTTCCGACAGAGTCGCTTCCGCCTTCGTTCCATGCCCAAATGACAGCTGCTGTGTGGATTTCACTTTCTAAAGTGCCGATGATTAGAGGAGACATCGGCTTCCACTCTTAAGTAAATTTAAGAATTTCGTTTCGAACTCCGCTTTGAATTTCGGCCTCTGTCTTTGGCATCGGCTCGGCTCATATAAAGAAAATTTAAGAATTTCGTTTATGTCGGCTAAGGCAACTTCGCTTCTGTAAAGCAAATGAGAAGTCTCCCTCGTCGATCTCGTTTTCCACAAAGTGGAGAGCAGACTTCGGATCGTCCAAAGCAAATTTAAGAATTTCGATGTAACTTCGCTTCTCTAAAGTACAATAAAATTAAGTTTTTTTTTTGGTAAGATCACTGGTAAGTTCACGGTATCGGCTTTCGTAAAGTAATGTAATGTCTTCCTTTAAGATTTTGATTTTGACAAAGTCACTTCCGCCTGCCTACCAGGTTCCCATAAAGAACATAAGTCAACTTCGGTGCTTGACCCGATTGCTAAAACGCTGAGAAAGGGAGGAATCTTTGGCTCCTTTAAAGTAAATTTAAGAACTTTGCTGTGAACTCCGGTTTCTGTTTCTGACGTCAACTCAGCTGCTGTGAATTTAAGAGCCATATTAAGAAAACCGGTTTCAACAAGATTGTCTTTCACTGTCTTCGCCTCGATCGGCATCCTATAGAGTAAAGTTAACATCTTCGGGAAGATCACATATGACCTGGACTTCGGCTTTCGTACAGCAAACGCCACAAAACCACGCTTTCGACACAGTCACAATCCGTAGCAACCCTACTCAAGCTCTACTGCTGTGTAGGTTGAGAGGAGGTCGCACGGAGGAAGCAATTTGTGTGGTGCGGTCAAATGCCCAGTAAGTGCAACACAACAAAACAATTAGCGTTGCTTGCAAAACAATTTTCAATGTAATGTGAAATTGATTTAAATAAATAAAAGCGCAAGCAAGGAATGTGAATGAAGCAATGAAAAGCAGAAATTTCGCTGATTTTTTTTCGCGGATATCAATGAATGAGCTGAGCTGTTGGCTGGCCGGCTGACTGTACCGAGGGCTTAATTGAATTGTGTGCAAAATTTTCAAGTTCAATGCGGGGTTTCACCCCGGCCAATGGTGGTGGCATGTCATACAACCACATTCAAGCACAAACACACACACTCACATACACGGTTTGCAAAAGACACACATGAATTGGGAATAAATGGATTTACGTTGTGATTTCACGATTTTATTTAATTAAATTTTTTTCCTGAGATTCACTGCCGGACTGGTTGGCGAGAGCACTGGTAGACGCGTTGTGCATTTATGTGTGTGTATTTATGCGGCGTATGTATGTGTGTATGTAAACTATTGCATGCATTTCAGCGCTTATTCATACTCCTCTCTCTGTCCACTCTCATTTGATTTTCATTTTGGTCATGACAGTTTGTTGTTGTTGTTGTTATAGCAAGTTGTCGCAAGTGGTAAATTACCGTCGATGTAAACATAATTTATTGTAATTGTTTCTGACATGATTTCGTCATTTGCATGCCACACAGCGGACACTTCGCCCGAACCACTGGACTGTGCCAACGTGCGCGAGCACACATACCGATACGTACACGTATGTACATACGTTCATGCATTTGTATTCAGATTTTAGCGCGACCAAAACACGATTGTCCAAGTGTAAGATTAATGGAGTGTGGATATTGATCTTTCCTAGGGCTCACAAAGCTCATTGCTGATGTGGCAGGTTAGTTGGTGGGGAGTTCGACTTGGAGAGGTGGCACGTTTCACGAGCCTTTCGACTTTTGACCAAAAAACTGGTATCGCGGTTTGACTAAACGGATTTAAACAAAACGAGTTTTTTTTTTACTTTTACTCCTTGCTTTGATCATCCGAATGGGTTTCCGAAGGTTTATACCGGAAAGTTCTTCTTTTACACAGCGAGGTGGAAGAATTTGACGAGGTCGTAGTGAGCTCTTGGAGCTCCGGCTCAGAGCTGACGAGTAAAAGCACCCAGACTAGTTTTTATTGCTGATCAAAAGCAATGAGAGGACAGGACGTAAAGTTAAGAGAGAGGAACGGATAATTAGAGTTGGGGTGGAGAATGAGGGAGAGAATTACAGAGCCAAAATGAAAGCGAGACAGTATGAGAGAAATCAAAAGAAGTGAAAATGAAACAGACAAGAAGAGAAAGAGAAGATGAAAAAGATGGGGATTTAGAGTAAGAGTTAGAATGTGAGAGACTTAAGGGAGAAATGGAAGGGAGAAGGGAAGGGAGAATAGGAGAGTGAGAGAATGAAAGAAATGGAAACAGGGACAGATGGAGAAAGAGAGAGAGAGAGAGAGAGAGAGAGAGAGAGAAAATGAGACAAAACAAATAAAGAAAATAAGAGGAAATTAGATAGTGAGAGAGAGCAAGAATAAGAGAGAGGGGGGAGAGAGAGAGAGAGAGAGAGAGGAGCATAAGAGGAAGGAGAATAAGGGAGCTATCAAGTGAGAGAAAGGCAGAGATTGAGGCTGTGAGCGGCAGATTGAGAGAGAGAAAATGAGGAAGAGTGAGAAATCAAAAGAATGAGAATCATGAGATGATGAGTGACAACGAGAGTGAAAGAGAGGGAACAAGAGAGAAGGAGAGAGAGAATGAGAGATGGAAAGAGAGAGGGAGAGAGGGAGAATTGGAGAGAGAAAGAGAGAGAGAGAGGGAGAAAAACAGATAGAAAGAGAAAGAGAGAGAGGGGGGGAATGAGAGAGAGAGAGAGGGAGAATGACAGATAGAAAGAGAGAAAGCGCGCGAGAGAGAGAGAGGGAAAATGGGAGATAGAAAGAGAGAGAGAGAGGGAACGAGAGAAAGCGAGGGAGAGAGAGGCAGAATGAGAGAGAGAAAGAGAGAGAGAGAGATAGTGAAATGGAAAGTTTTCGCCTAAGACCAGGAACTTTGAAATATTTTGGTTTTCTCAGCTTCGCTTATCTTATAAAACTTATACGGAACCTGCCTAGCAGCTCGAAAGAATGGATTTGGTTTAGTAAAAACTAATTTTTCAAACACATTTTCCTAAAAAAGTATATTTTTCAAGCATTATTAGCATTTAATAAGCCATTTTAATCAGGTAAGCAAAATCTATTTCGATTAACCAATATCTACTACATACATATACTCATGGACTTTGTAATCCCAATCCAATCATTTAGATTAAAACAAATATGTATGTGTGTGTGTAATTGAGTTGTAAAAGTGAATTGAGCTCAGCCGACTTCAAAAATAATTCTTATCAAGCATTTTATACATATTTACATATACACATATACATATATAACATACGCATATATGTATGTATGCACATAATAATGTGTATATGTAGCTGCACAAATGTCAACAACGATCTCGTCACGTGATGGCACACCACCGCTCGAACAGCTGATAATTATTTGTGAGTGTGAGAGACAAAGAGTTATGAGTGGAGAACAATTGCGAAAATAAAGTAAATTGAATTTCTTAGTGAAAACAACAAAGTAAGCAAATATGTAATTAATAAAAATAATATTGAAGCAGCTTAATTACCGTTATCAATAAATAAGTAGTTATTAACAAGGCAAATGAGATTAAATATCTCTATATATAAATAGGTAGGTGGAGGAGGAGGTAAACAAATGAAAATAAACGCAAAATAAAAACGACCAAATATTTGGGAAAAAGGAAAAAAAAGTAAATGTTGCCCGAAAATGTTTATTATTTGAAAAAAAACCACACTAAAAGTAAGCAGAATATTTTTATAAAAAATATTATCAACTCGCGTTATTACATATAAATTGCCATTTAACCTCAAATGTTGTCGAACATAATATTTTTTATTTTTATAAACAATATTTTTCAAAATCGGTAAATATTATTGAAAGAGAATTATTGACCATATGACATTGTTGTTGTTGTTTTAAAAGCTTGATATTAGTAAAAAAAAACGTTAACAAATGAGATGTAAAACTTTTTTTTTGGTTTTCACCTCTTTCCATATATAAAATTTTGATAGTTAAAAATATAATTTTTTAATAACCAAAAAAAAGAAGAAAGAGTTTAACAAAAAACAATTTAAAAAAAATTAACAAAAAATTTTTAACAAGAAATTAATTAAAGAATTTTTATTTTCAGTTGAAATTTCTTTCAAATGTTTATGATTAAATAAAAGACTTAGATTGGTGGCAACTCTGTTTGTTCAGTGTAAGCTTTCTTTATGTGTTACAGTTTTATAACAATGTTGTAATTTTTCATTTACTTTAACCATTTCTTAACTAAAAAAAATGAAAAAGGTGGCAACCAACCATAAAAATTATTGACGCTGTAAGCAGTCTTAATTTTCTCAGTCTGATATTCCAATTGAAATATTTTGCTGAGCTTTTTTTTAAATTTTTTTTTCAAGAGTGGCAACTCTACTCAGCTCTATTATCAGATATATTTTAGTTAAAAGTCTCGTCATATTCATTTTAGTTGAAATCGGCCTTTTTAAACATTTTAATTTTTCAATAAATTTTTTTGTTTAACTAAAATAAATTTTAATTGCGGCAATTCTACACAAAAATTTCTTCCACTGTCAATTTTTTACTGATTTCTAATGATAACCATATTATTATCATTTATTTATTTGTTTAATTTGTTTTTAAACATAAACGTTAAAAGGGTGGTAACTCTGCTTCAAAATTATTTTCTCTGTGAGCTTTTGTTTGATATCCACTCAGCTTAATATCCATATTGCTATATTTCAAATATTTATTTAAATCAAACTGGTATCTCTATTTTTAATTAAACATTTACTAACGGTGGCAACCCATCGCAATGAAGGTTGTAAGTATTTTTAATTTTCTAATGTCCTTTAGTTCGTTAACCAAATAGTAATATTTTATTTTTTTTATATATAATTTTATTTCATAAATTGAAAAAAGGTGGCAACTCTTCCGAAAGTAATTTTTTTGTAAGCTTTTTTAAAGCTCTTCACTTTGATACCCATCTTGTGCTATAATTTTACAATATTTAATTAATTTATATCAAATAAAAAAATTGAAAAGGACGGCAACTCTACTCCAAAATATTTTTTATCTTTTTTTTTAAGTCGTAAACTGCTGGCAGGCTAACATTTTGAAGATACACACACCATCACACTCGAGCCTGCCGCTCACAGCACCCCTCTTTCCCCACATTGCCTCTCATCACAGCTCATCTTCGACTCGCTCGAACAGGTAATAATTTATTTTAATTGAAAAAAAGCGGAAATTCTGCTTAGTTTTGGGCAATTACTCGCATGTAGGCAGTGTGTAGGGGTAACTTGTTGCTAAATGCTGATTCCAAAAGCTTACATAATAAATTCACAATCGTCTGAGCGGCAGAACACGAGCAGCGCACATGCGAACGTGAGAAGCTTGCCTCGTCGCGCCGTCTCCTTTGCCGTCGTAGTAGCACAAATACACGTGATCATAATATCACTAAACAAATTGAATGATTATTTTGAATTTTTAGTCCAAATATTAGTACACAACGAGGTTTATGAACTCGTAAATCATTTACTACTTTTGGTGGGTGTGTGTGGTGAGAGCGCTTCGGTTGTTGGGAGGGTGACTCATTTACGTAATTTTTTTCACATAATCATGATGATAATTTAGCAAATTATGTAATTAGTTTGTATGAAGAGATGCATCGAGTCTATTTATGGGTAACATTATTATTCCAAACATTTGTGCCCGCGTAGAGAAGTGCTCGAAGGGAGAGCCGTACCAAGTAGCCATAATAAAATAAAGTAAAAGCGATAGGAGCCAAATGAAAGCGGTTCTAACGTCCACCTGTGGTGTCTAACCCGTAAGACTCAAGTCTCCCCTGTCTCATTTCTAACTGGGAATTGGGAATTGGGAGTTTTCTGTCCATTACCAGGAGCATCATACCGGGAAACTGTGGTCTCGACTTCTATGGACTTACATGGCAAGATACTTCCCACATCGGACTCAAAAGAGTACATTCTCCGAGCTCTCATGATCTCAGTTTACTCCAGAAAACTGAAAATCAGCGCTGTGGTACTCTGACCGGGGTAGTTTCATATAATTCACTACACCATTCCGTGAAAAATTTTCCGCCTTAGAAAAGAAACTAAGGCCCCGGAAACCTACAATTGCTGCTTTAGAAAATATCACTGCCACTTAATTCCCGACATCATTTTGACGTACCGGAACTGGTAACTATTATGCTGTCTTAAAAACACCATAAAGGCTTGTGAGCTCCCTATCCGATAGGTTCGATTAGGTTAGGCTTTCTGTTGCGCCTGGACCACTTCTAGTGCCATGCTAAGGTTTAATTTTGTTCGAGGCAGTCGTTAAGTAGGAAGTAAACGCTTTTTACAGTAAGGAAAACTGAAATTCCTCTGGTTCTTTGAACAGCGTAGGTCCAAAGGCTTAAGTCGAATTATAAATAGAGACCGAGAGAAACAGAGAAGGTGTGTGATGACCGGAAAAAAATCGTCATCTCCCTGTTGAGTTTTCTGCCGGCGAACCTTGTTAGAATTATGTGAAGAAGTCTGCGAAATAATTATGATGACAAGAGCATTTCTTCTTCCCCCTCTTTCAGCTTGGTTGTTTGAAAAGAATTTTTGAGAACCTGACTGCGAGCAGTTTCGCTTATTATGTTCCATCCCTTATCTTCAACCCCATGAGACTGGAACTTGAAGACGACGTTCGCGTCTCATCGAAGAAGTCACTTTTCAAGATTTTTTGTCGCCTTCTATACCTACTCTGCATTCTTATTGAGAAGGGGTATGGACACGTATTTTGGCAATACTAAAATCCAAGCATATGGAAAAGCTGTCTAATCGCGATCCTGCACCTACAGGAATACTAAGTTCTCGGTTGTTTAGCACAATTGTTTACCCTAGTTTAGACTTCTGAGCACCTGAAGTCACTGAAAGACTTACAGTGTTTGCCTTTTACCACCGTTAGTTAAAGGCTCACAATGAAAAATTTTTCCAGAGAATTTTTCCTTAATGGATCAATTTTCTAGTCCAGCTTCAACGAGCTGCAGTGAAAAAATTTCAGTCAAGCTTTAAGTGGGCCAGGATATAAACTGTTCGTATGCTAGGTTTCATAACCTCTGCGAATCTGAAGACGCTGAAATTTCTGAGGCAATTGACTATGACAATCTCAGCGTTAGTCTGCTCACTCGTTCATCTTTTCATTGCTTTCTACCATCGTGGGTTAGAGATTGAAAAAGAAATTCTTTATACAGATGTCTTCGCCTAGTTTTGCACTTTTCCTCCAGAAGTTTCAGCGCGGCCAAAGGCTTGAAGGACTGGTAGACAGGTTTGTTGGTGAAGAATATAGAGCTATAGTGAGATGCGTAATCAGACATGATACCGTCTAAACAACTAACGAGTGCTAACGAAGAACTTTCACTACAAAGCTCCAAACTTCGTTTACACAGCGAAAATAATGAGTTCTTTCATTCTTTGGAATTTTGAAGCTTCTCCACTTCAATCTGAAGGATTTTAGTATTGAGGAGCAGCGAATAGATCAATAAATCTGGCTAGAGCAACTGCAAACTGAGTCACTAATGCGCTTATAGCGTTGCTTTGTGCTCCTTCTACCCAAAATACAACTCTCTGTGAGAGTGTACGAGTTCAAAATATTCTTCTCTCTGTATTAATCTCTTCAACCACTTGTATGTTAGACATGTTCAAATTGTTCTCCCTACTCTAGAGTGCTCGTATGTCGTAGTAGTTTATGTGAAAAGTATGCCATGAGGCTGTTGAGAACTGCAGATGAAAACTATGTCGCCGAATGAAATCCGAATTTTTCAATACATTTTTATTGAACGCAAGTGTAAAAAGTTGTATAACAAAAAAGTGTGGGAAACGTATAGGTGATAACATCGTAAAAACCCAGCTTACCATTGGCGGGGTTATAAGAGCTTTGCCATTGAAATCTTTCTCGCTTTGCTATGCTGATATGCGAACTGAAGTCGATTAAAAAACCCGAGTTCCATTACATTTTCAAATGGGGTGGGTGGCTATTGCATATTGGGGTGGGGCGAGTGCGATTTTGACGGCCAAGCCCTCGTTTGGTTTGTTGTGCAAATGGCAGTGGGTCGCATTCAAATTAGTTATGTGAAAAGCGCTGATAAGCGCTTCGTTGGCTGTTACCTAGCGTTGTTGTCTGTTCGAAGCGTCTGGACGATCAGTGCATTTTTCGACGCCAAACGAACATAGACAAGACGGCGGTGAAATAAAAATAAATAAAAAATTTTATTAAACAAATATCCAAGCGTCATTCCTAAGCAGTGAAAATTGAAAAAGTGAGAAAAAAGATTGCGAAAATAAAATTGGAAAAAATAATTTATTGAGTGAGTTTGCAAAGCTGAAGAGTTCACGTTTTTCGTTGTAGAAAAATAAACCATAAATCATAATCGACAAAAAATTAAAGTGCTTAGCGAAGGTGATAAGCTAACTTAACTAATTTGCGATTATGATAAGCGCGCTGGTGAAGACTTGATTATTTTTGAGTACAAGAAAAATGTATAAATTTGTAATGTATGCGCAAAGTCTGCGCGAGTAAGTGAACGGAAGTCAAAGTGAACGCAACAAAGGCGCAGTGAATTCGAAAGGATAACGCGCATTTTAAACGCAAGAGTCTTAAAGAAAAAGTTTGGGTATCACAAAAACGCAGTGCCGCGCGCGCACCATGTTTTCACTCGCCAAACTCTGCGCGCTTTGTGCAGTACTCAGCATCTTCGCCGGTCTACCACGCGCCGCTCAATGCGACTCATCCTACTACGAGAAGTACTACAATGCACGCCGCTTTGTGCCGCTCAAACGCAATTCGCTGTTACCGTACAACTTTAGCGTTTCGCTGGGTGAGCACACATTAGCAAGTTACGAGCTTGTCGCCATCGCTGGTGATGTTAAACAGTTGGGCGCTTGGCATGCGGATAAAGCCATACTATTGAATCGCACACAGGATCATAAAGTGTGGACCGCTAGCGTAGCGCTGCCGGTGAATACGACCATCAACTATCGTTACTTCATTGCGGCGCGCGATAATGAGACCGGCGTGCTGCATGTACGCCGCTGGGAGTCGCATATTAACGCGCGTAGCTTCCGCATGGGCACGGTGTCGGGTAATCGTACGGACGCCTGCGGTTGGATTGATCCACAAAAACGTGAGCTACAACGTGGTTGGTTGAATGCAGGCAATATAGTGCAGTTCAAGCTCTTTCGCAATCCGTTGAATGTAAATGAGTCGCGTTTGGGTAATGAGGAGTTGCGTTTAAAGCTGCAACCGGTTGAACCGCGTCGCTTGTCTGCCATATTGCCCTCCGCTAAGGCTCATACAGAGTACGTGCGCATGGTGTATGGCGATAGTTTTTTGCGCACACAGCCGGAGTTCGGTGTGCCGTACAAACCCAATGATATACTCATATTCCATACGACGGTGGCGCAGCTGGATAAGGTCGCCTACTTGCTGAAGTTGTATGCAACGCAGGATGGTAGTGAACTCGTGCGTTTAGTCGGCTATCAATATATTTACCCGGAGTTTCTGCAGGGCACGGAGGGTAGTTTCACTATTAATCTGCTATCGCCCGTTTGGCTGAATGCGATTGGCAGTCTGGAGGTGCAGTATCTGGTCATCAAGCCACTACCAAACTCCACAGTGGACTTCCATACCTCGTTCGTCGATTACTGGCGCAGCAATTGGACTGCACTCGATGTGGGTCATCGCGGTTTGGGCAGGAGTTTGAAGCAGGCCACTAATGTGGCGCCGATTATTGAGAATACCGTTGCCTCTATGAAAGCATCCATGGAGTTGGGAGCCGATTTGGTTGAGTTTGATGTCATGTTGACGAGCGACCTCGTGCCGGTGATCTATCACGATTACTACATCTATGTTTGCATGGACCCGAAAACACCCACCAGCAAGGCGGACCTCACACAGGTACTCATCAAGGATGTGACCTACGAGCAGCTGAAAAATCTGAAAACCTATCAGGTTATAGGCAACAAGATAATCGAGTATCCGGCGCACAATAATGTCGAGATAGAAGACCTACGTCTCTTTCCGCTCTTCGAAGATTTCCTGACCAAAGTGAATAAATCTGTTGGCTTCGATATCGAAATTAAGTGGCCACAATTGCTTTTGAATGGCGAGCTGGAGAGCGTACAGACGATCGATAAGAATACATATGTCGATCGCATTTTGGATGTGATGCTACGTCACGGTTGTGGCCGCCTCAGCTTCTTCTCCTCATTTGATGCGGATATTTGCACGCTGCTGCGTTACAAACAAAATATCTATCCCGTTATGTTTCTCTCCTCTACCGTGCTTGGCGCTTTCGCCGATCCACGCGCCGACACTCTCTATGATACCGTTAATAATGCACAGGCTTTTGATCTCGCTGGCATTGTGCCGAATGCTGTGCACATACGAAGTGATCCTAAATGGATTGAGGTGGCGGCTAAGCAAGGCAAAAGGGTTTTCCTGTGGGGTGATGCGCTCAAGGATACCGAATCGATTGAATGGTTTAAGGCGCAGGCGCCGGCGGGTGTAGTATACGATCGGCTGGATCTTTGGCTGCCGGCGAATAAGCAAAACGCTTTTGAGTTGGAAGACGATTTGCCGGACTTCTTTAAACTGCAGTGCTCACCGAACCAGCCGCGCCCAGTGAACTCCACCATCGAAAGTATACTTAGTAATGTGAATTTGTTGTAGAGTGTAGTTGTTGTGTAGTGTTAACTGTTATTTATATATTGTATGTACGAGTATGTAGGTGTAGAAAGGAGTTGTTTTGAAAAATGTGTATGAAGTTCCTTATTTCCAAAGTGAATCTTACTGCTTCTGTTTCATTTGTTGGCGGTGGGTATACCACAGGCGCTGCAAGGAAAGTAAGTATCGGCGTAACTAAGGATGTGAGGAAGAGCTCCTCTTTCGTAGCGCTATCTGAGCGAGTGCGGAACCAAAATGCGCCTAGTGCTTCAGGCATGTCCTTCACTGTAGTGGGGTTGCTGAGATTGTGGAGATAGTCTTTTTGAGATACTGAGTCTTAGTTAGTTCAGCAAAGATCGGGTGCAAAACGAAGTATAAGGACTTTCTATGCGGAAAGTACAGAAGGCCTCAGTTTCAGTCGGCTCTGAGGGAGACGAAAGTATCAATTTGCGTTGTGTAAAAAAATGCGTTAGGGTCAGTAAAGTCCCAGTTGGAGCAATCTAAAGCGAGTTTCACGGAGAATCATTCGCGAAAATTTAAAAAGCTGTTAGGATTAGTTCGGACTCTGAGTGGCACTCTGGCTAGGAATTCGCATAACTTGGAAGACGAGGTAGAAAACTAGATCATATCTCGGACAATTAGAATATCCGAGAGAAAATGGTGTTGTGAGAAGTGTCTGTCAAACGATGTGGCTCCCATTGTTAAAAGAAAAGTTCCCAAAACCCCTTATTGACTTAGTCGGAAGTATGTATTTGTCCGGATGAAGTACCGAACTTAGCTCAGCTAGAATAAATATAAAAATTAGAAGGGCTCTGATCAATAATACTGGTACTCCGTCTCAGCGAAAAATGAGTTTAGATGTACCACAGCTCGAGGTTCAGACAGCCGGTTCTTAATGAGCTCTACGATTCCTACGTCATTGAAATGCTTTTTGCCATTAACATTTTTTGAAGAGTTGACAGTCCATACCGAAGTAATTAGAGAGGAATAGTACTCTACCATTACAAGCTTGCCTTTTTCTGAAGGGGAGCTCTCAAATGACACGACTCAAAGTAGTCATGCGCTCAGTGCGCGGTTTCTGATGGCGGAAAGTTTCTGAAAATTTTTAACCCCAACAGCAATTGTGTCGAGGAAACCAAACAGTGAGGAGAGCGAAAGTACGGAATTCTTCTACTTTCGGGTACTTTACAGAAGGGAGAGCTCAGCCTTCAGAAGGACAGAAAATATTCAGAGGGGCTCTCACCGATACCAGTGGAAAACCTTCTGAGAAAAACTATGTAAATCTCGGAATTATAGTCAACCGAAGGAGTTGCGGCATAGTCCAACCCATTTTTTCCTGAGGTACTTTCTACGGAGAGGCGAAACATGGTCAACTTGAACATGTGCTGATGGGTTTGTATAGATACCAGCGTCTAGTCTGCCTCTATTGTGTAGATATCATCAGTGTTTGGCTTTACGAGCCTATCCTAGCAAGGACGTCTCATCTTAAGTAATGTTCTCACATTCTTGTTCAGCTGTGGTCAAACAAATTTCGGTCCAGAAAGTCTTTGTGCGAATCCAAGCTGGTCTTTATCCTCATCAAAGTTACTGGTACTCTCACCATTCCGTGATTGGCTCCGAACAAACTCTTCGCCACTCTCAGTGTTGGGCAAAACTTTTGGTGAAAGAGAGTGGCAAATTCCTGTGAATCTCACTAGAAGTACGGTGCTTTCTCTAGGAAGTTTTTAAATAACATCAGTCTCTACGCTCTGGGAAAGGTGCCGAGCTATCATTGTTAAAGCGTTCGATCAGCCGCATTGTATGGGAGGAAGTATTTAAGGACCTAACATGAGACTGTATGTAGTAGTTAAGAAATATTAAGTTAGCGAAAGGGCAAAACTGATCTTACTCCAGGAAATTTCTGGACGGAGAGCAAATGGACACAGGAATTATTACCCCCCGGCGGTGTAGAGAACTCTTCTTATAACTACAACTGGACGGACCGAGCATATAGAGGGGTTCTAACCGAAATGGATGACAGGGTAAGGTTCTCTCAGAACTTTCTTCCTCAATAACTTATGAAAATATACCCGATCTCAGTGCATTAATTCCGGCTCCCTTCCGTTTTTTGTATCATAAAGAGTTTTTTTTTTTCAAAAAAATTAAATCTTGAATGCTTCTGTAATAAATTTTCTTTCCGAAGAAGCCCCGAAGAAAACGTTAGATTAGTTGGAGTGAGCTTTTGAAGTTCTTAAAAATCAGAAAATGAACACAAAAGTTTCAGGAAAAAACAAAAAATCAAACTAAATTCAGTCCGCCTCCACCTCAACAGGGGGTCGTCAAAGTAAATAAAAACCCGCTACTGGCAAGATGTCGGAGAGTTCAGTTGGTAATCTGCAACTCACAGTCGAAATGGCGGGCGCGCGCATAGCCGAACACGAATTGGTCGGTGTGATCGGCAATAAAAAATCCCTCGGCAGCTGGAATATACAAAATGCGCCGCTGCTCAAACGTAGCGAAAGCGATTACAATAAATGGACCACGAGCGTGACGGTGCCGCTGAATAAATGGGTGCGCTATCGCTATTTCATCGGCGCACTGGACAAGCGCACGCAAATCGTGCAGGTGCGTCGCTGGGAAGTGGCGGAGCGTGCGCGTGAATTACGGCTGACCGATGTGAATGAGAACACGTACGATCGTTTCGGTTTCATAACACCAATGCGGCCGAAATTACGACGCGCATGGCTCAACACTGGACACATTGTGTTGTTGAAGTTGTTCGACGAAGCGTTGCGTTATAAAGTGAGTGACGACCGGATTGTTGAGGAGGGTGAGGTGGTGCAGTTGAAGCTGGACGCCCTAGATGCGGTCACACTACAAACGATCGGACCGTCGGCACGCGCGCACATACTATACACAAAACTGCAATATGGCAATAGTCAGTTGAAGGATCAGCCGGAGTTCGGCACCGAATACAATACGCAGACACTTATTTATCATATCTACATGTTGACGCGTCGTGACGTTGGTTTCCTGTTGAAACTATTTGCCTTCAATAAGCGCAACGAGTGTGTGCGCCTGATCGCGCAGTCCTACCTGCCGCCTGAGGCGCTGGAGGAGAGTGAGGGTGTGCTGGATGTGACTTTGATTTCGTCAAGTGTGGACGCTGAAGTGGCGAACTTGGAAGTACACTATTTGATCATAAACCCCACACCCAATTGGCATGTCAAGTTGAATACTACCTTCACGCAATATTGGCCCACACGTTGGAGGGGTTTGAACATAGCACATCGTGGCATGGGACGTAGTTTTGTGCCGAACAATCCGGTGCGTCCACCATACGAGAACACAGTGAGCTCCATCAAACAGGCATTCCAAGTGGGCACCGATATGGTGGAGTTCGATGTGATGCTCACCAAAGATTTGGTGCCCATCATCTATCACGACTTCTATGTGCTGATGTGTCCTTCAACCGAGACACCTTGTAGTCGCAGTGAGATTATCTCAGTGCCGGTTGTATGCTTAACCTACGCCGAGTTGCAGTCCATGCAGACGTACAAAATTGTTGCTGACGAATTGATTATTTGCCCGGCACCGAATACGGTCAGCGATGAGGATGAGCGTCTCTTTCCCACGCTGCAGGAGTGTTTTGAGAAAACAAAGAAAATGTTAGGTTTCAACATCGAAGTGAAATGGCCACAAGAGTTGTACAAAGGCGGCTCCGAGTGCGTGCAACATATGGATAAGAATCGGTATGTGGACACGATACTCGATGTGGTGAAGCGTCACAGTTGGGGTCGCGTGTGCTTCTTCTCCTCCTTCGATGCGGATATGTGTATAATGTTGCGCTATAAACAAAATATGTATCCCGTTATGTTGCTAATCGAAAACGAACCGCAGAGATTCGTCGATCCACGCACACACTGTCTGCATCCGGCCATAAATACAGCACAGGCGTTCGACTTGAACGGCATTATGCCCAACGTTTCTATGCTGCATTCGCATCCGGACGCCTTCGAGTTGGTTGAGAATCAGAACAAATGGCTCATGTTGTGGGGCGATGAGCTCGTAGATCGTGCTAAAATCGAGTTCTATCGTGCGCTGGGTGTTAATGGCATGATTGTTGATCACATCGATTTGTTGGTGGATCGTGGCAAGCGGAATATTTTTGAGTCGGATGAAAAGTTGCAGCAACTTTTCGAGTTGCAGAGGAGTTGTGGTTGCCGTTGAATGGATTATTATTTCGAAAAACTAAAATTTTAAATACTTTTTTGTGAATACTTCAACCAACCGAAATGTGTAACGAGTGAAGAGAAAACGTAATAAATTGGAGTGCAGTAAACTGGAAAAGGCAATAGAAAGGAAGTGTGGTGGTTTTACTAACTAAAAGGGAGGGGAAAGTGAGAGCGAGAGGCGGATAGCGTACATTCCTTCCGAGTCTTTTTTCGGCAGAGCAAAGTGACTAATAAAAGACAATTACTTAATTTTTTTTTTGAGGTTGTGAACTGCTGAAGTAAATTTCGATGAGCTCTAGCTGAATTTGTTGTGTAAGTCTTGGGGTTTCCCTTCAAAATAGAGGAACCCACAGTTTATTCTAAGCCGGCTCAGAAATGCTGATGAATTTTCGGTTGGAGTTTTTAATTCAAAGCAAAAAATTGGGCTTGTGGTGCGACGTTCTATTTTACAATCTTGGTAGGATCCCACATGTGCAATCCGGCAGAAAGTTTTAAAACTCCCCACCGAACGGCTAATACATTGTTATTTGACCTATTCTGCCGAGGGTCGATCATGTATGGAGAAGACTTTTTAGATATTTTTCTGCTCAGAACTTGAAGCCCTGTCCTTCCAGCCCACGCACGTACAGCCTAATCTAAGCCACGTCCGAAGGACTGATGGATTCGTTAGAATGACTTTACTTTCACGCTGGAAATATGCTCTTTGGATGCTGATCCGATGCCGAGTGACGTCAATATTTTGCACAAACTTTATCTCAATTTTTTAATATAGATCTCATGCGGCTCGGCACCCATAACCCTCGAGAAAGTAACAACCTTGTAAACTCATCGGCTAATGCGACCTCAGCGCAGTTTGGAACTAAAATCATCACAACGGTTCGAATAAAATCGCGTATATTAATAACAGTTTCTTCGGGAGTTTCAAAGATAATGCCGAAGGAGTTCAACTCGGTTCACTAAAGAGCAGTTTGAAAGCTGCCACCAGCTGTGAGTCATTAAAAATATTAATATAAACTCTTGGAAGCTGCTAGGACTCGAAGTAGTTTTTTGGTTTCGAGTTTTTGTCTCACGAAGGAATGATCGGGAAACCGTTGAGAAAGACCAGCATTTACAGAAAATATACGGAAGTCTTTGCAGCTAATCTTAGTAGTACGTAGAGCTCCTTCTACACTTAGGATAATTTCAGAATGAACATTTGACCGAGCGAAATCACCAAGCTTAGTAGTGGTTAGTTACGACCTGTTCCCGCCCGTGTCCTCCTGAAACATTATTTAGAAGACACATTTTCAGCAATATTGAGAAGTAGGAAGTGTTCTCGAGGAGTTGGGATGAGAAAGTGGGCTACTAGAGCCAAGTTAGAGCAAACAGAAAGTCAGAACAAAGGCCGATCTTTTTAAAATAGTAAAACTGGGTTGGTTTTGGTGGAGTATTTTTTGAAAAATTCACAAGAATATAGAGTACAGCTCTGGATGGAAGCTTGGGAAGTTTTAGTTAGCTACTTAGTTCATGAAGAACGGTAGTTTCGCGTTGGAGCGGAGCTTTGACTTCGAAAATTCGGCCGATCATTTGATATTATATCGCGCCTCAGTACTGGGTATTCGTATGCTTCAAGGTTCGGGTTATTTTACCCCCGCCCCGCGACTCCAACAGACGCCCAGAAACACAACCGTTCTTCGAGACTTTAACCCACTTCTCCAAGTAGAGTATTTGGAAGGGAAACTCCTTAAGGTTTTAAGTTCTTTCTCCTCTCTACAACTTTTATCGAAGCACAAAAGTCTCTCTGTATGTCTAATCAATGGAAATTGCCCTGCGAGAAGAACAAAATTGTTGATATCTCGTTCCCTATTACAGGATTTAAGCCGCTTCCAACTTAAGTTAGAATCGGCGAGAGAGAGAGAGGAAGAGAGAGGCAGATTGTTATTTCGCTTTAAGTAAGGCTATAAGCAGAGCGTAGCAGAGTTTCAGCATCTTGACAAAAGTAGTGCAAAGATTCCGTTCCTTTCAAGCTGCTCCACCGTCTTGCAACACGGTGTATTACTTTGTTATCAGAGAATTGCTGAGACAACACGTTAGATGATCTGAGACAACACTTCACGGCTTAGTGCTGCCAGGTTAATCGAAAAAAGATATATCCAAACTACTGAAAGTACTCTCTAGCCCAGAATATTGTGGGAGTAACAGTTCGGTATAAAAATTCAATTTATGCGGAAACTTGTAGATCTTAGTCGCCAATTACGAAGAACCTCTAAACCGCTGGGGATTATCAAAAACACTACAGTGATCCGGTAGACGCGACTAGGGAAGACTTGCTTATACCCAGTTCCTTTCTCCAGACGCAGGTACCTTGCTACCCGGCTTTTCTGAGTTCGGTTAGAGAAGAGTTGAGTCTGAATATGTTGATATCATCCTAACCTAATGGAGCTCGCCGACTATAATTCTTGCAAGATCATCTTACAAAGTTCATTAAACATAAAACTCGATCTTTTTCGTCTACCTCACGAGCTCGAATCACAGTTGCTGCTGATTTGGTGAAGTCTTAACCTACGTAAGCTTCAGCCCTGTGTCTCGATGGAGATTTAGTAAGTTATTCTCAAGGGGAATGTTTTCTTTTTAACATTCTCTTCATCACTCATTCGTCAATCAATCATTAGCCGACGATGTCAAGACTGATGTGTTTTGGTCGAAAATAAAATGTTTTAGTTACTTAAATTGTAAAAACACATTTTTCCAAAATTTCTGTGAAGGGAAACGTAGACTTTTGACTCATTCAATACGTATAAGCCAAGGAAGCAAGAAAATGGTGGAAGCCACAGCTGTTGTGCATTTCAAGGTGAATTTAGCTGGCACGCATCTCGCGCCCTACGAGATAGTCGGCGTGATGGGCAATCAAAAGGCGCTCGGCGAATGGGATGTACAGCATGCGCCGCGTTTGAAGCGCACCGAGGACGACTACAGTGAGTGGTCGGCTGTTGTAGAGCTGTTCCATGAGAAGCTGGTGCGTTATCGCTACTTTATCGGTGCGGTGGACAAGGCGACACAGATTGTACAAGCGCGACGTTGGGAGATACAAGAGCATGCGCGTGAGATCAAGTTGCTGTGCAAGGAGGTGGAGTGCATCGATAAGTTCGGTTGCATATGTCCAAATAAACCGAAAGTGCGTAAAGCTTGGCTGAATACCGGACATGTGGTGCTCTTCAAGCTCTTCTTCAACGCATTGGAGTTCAAAGAGAAGCTGCCCATTGTGCCGGAGGAGGAGGTACGACTGAAGTTGGAGCCGGTCAATCCGGAATTGATGTTACCCATACTACCCTCGGCGCGTGCTTATGCGCAGTACTCGAATATGCTCTACGGCGGCAGTCAAATGAGGGATCAACCTGATTTGGGTGTGGTCTACAATAACAGTACGCTGATGTTTCAGGTGCTAATGGTGGACAAAGCAATGGTTGGTTACTTGCTCAAATTGAATTTGTCAAATGAGTCCACTGGCTGCGTACAGCTGCTCGGTCAAATGTATATACCGCCTGAGGCGTTGGACACGAGTGAGGGTCTGCTGACGGTTAGCTTTACGAATATCTCCAATAATGCTGAGGTGGCACGACTGAAACTCAAATATCTGGTCATAAACGCCATGCCAGATTGGCAGGTTAAGTTGAATACAACCTTCTTGCAATATTGGCCGCGTCGCTGGAGAGGCCTAGATATTGGACATCGCGGCTTGGGTCGCAGCTTCATTGCCGACAAGCCAGCGCCCATAACTGAGAACACATTGCGCTCCATGCAGGCGGCGTACGAAGCAGGCGCTGATATGGTGGAGTTTGATGTGATGCTGACGCGCGATTTGGTGCCCATCATTTTCCATGACTTTGAGGTTATGCTATGTTTGAACGCGATGAAGCCCCAAACCAAAGCGGAACTCTGCATCAAGTCTGTGAAGGATTTCACCTACGAGGAGCTGCAGTGTTTGAAAACTTACCGCATTATCAACGACCGGATTGTGGAATACCCAGCACCGTGCAGTCTCTGCGACGCGGATGAGCGTCTCTTCCCCACACTTAAAGAGTTCTTTCTCAAAACAAACCGTTTTCTCGGCTGCAATATGGAAATTAAATGGCCACAGGCGTACTATAGCGGTGGCGTGGAAAGTGTACAGACGATAGATAAGAATCAGTATGTAGATGCCATATTGGCGGTGGTGAAAGAGGTCAGCTGGGGCCGTCTCTGCTGTTTCAGTTCCTTCGATGCGGACACCTGCATTATGTTGCGTTTCAAGCAAAATATCTATCCGGTCTACTTTACCGTCTCACAAGCGCTGCCGGAGTACTTGGATCCGCGCACACATTGTCTCCAACCGGCGGTGAATACTGCACAAGCCTTCGACTTGAATGGCATTGCACCGGCCGCGTGCATATTCGAGAATCATCCCGAGACTCTGACGTTGGCAAGTCTGCAGAAGAAGTGGGTTTTGTTGTGGGGTGATAAGTTGGGCGAACGCAACACCATCGAGTGGTGCAAGCAGCAGGGCGTGCACGGACTGATTTATGATCACGTAGAGTCGTTGCTACCTGTGGGCAAGCGGAATATTTTCGAAAAGGACGAGCGGTTGCAAAGGCTCTTCAAATTACAACTGAGCTGTGGCTGTCGTTAAATTTTGTTGTTTGTGTAAACTATTTGTGCATATAGTGTTAGGTTTCAAATGCTGTAAGGAAAATAAAATGATGAGATATTCTTAAAAATTCCTTTTACTATGCCTAATCGGCGGATAGAAGTAACAGACCTAACAGACTGTCAAGAAAAAGCTCGTCAAAAAGGAAAGTTCTTCTCAAAACAATTCGAAGCTCAGGATGTGTTTGATAGTATACAGCTTTAAATGGGATCCCCATCGGAACTCTTCAAAACCGACATCTCAGGACTTCTTTTTTGATTCGGGTACTCTTCGGAAATTCAGCTTATGTTAAATAATTTTCCACCTTGGTTCCGGGGTCTTAGCATACGGCTATTTACCTTCTACTCTGATTCCGGCTCTCTACAAAACTCTTCGAAACTCCGGATATGGTTATTACTCTTTGCTCTGATTTAGGTATCCTTTAGGTTGTTTCTTCTTAACATACTCTTGCGAGCTCCAAAGACCACGGAAAGTATTTGTTTTAGGGTTTAGGTTGTTCTCGAAGTAGAGTCTTTGGAAACAAGGGCCTTTGGGTTCACGGTTTCCTTTAAGTGGTGTCTTGGTTTCCGGTACTTCCCCAAGTAATGTCGTTCGAAAGTAAAGACCTTTGTGTTCAGGTCTTCAGCTTCAGGTTTTTCTTTAAGTGGGACTTTAGGAAAGGAGCTTCTCCTAGTCGGACCTTGAGTCTTTTAGGTTAAAATTTTTATCCAAGTGAGGTCTTTGGAAAAAAAGTGTTTTAGATTTCAGGTTCTTCGACAAGTGGAGTCCTTGGAAAAGAATGTCTTTGGGTGCAAATGTATCTTCAAGTAGGGTCTTTGGAAAGTAACGTCTTTAGAGTTCAGGATCTTCTCCAAGTGGGGTCTTCGGAAATGACGGCCATTGGGTTCGAGTTCTTCTCCAAGTCGGGTTTTGGGAAAGGAAGGCCTTTGGGTTCGGGTTCTTCTCCAAGTGGAGTCTTTGGAAAGGAAATGCTTTAAGTTTCAGGTTTTTCTCTAAGTGAGGCCTTGCGAAAGGAAGGCTTTTGGGTTCGGGTTCTTCTCCAAGTGGAGTCTTTAGAAAGAAAATGCTTTAAGTTTCAGGATCTTCTCCAAGTGGGGTCTTTGGAAATGAAGGCCATTGGGTTCGAGTTCTTTTCTAAGTGGAGTATTGGGAAAGAAAATGCTTTAAGTTTCAGGTTTTTCTCCAAGTGAAGCCTTGGGAAATGAAGGCCATGGTGTTCAGTTTTTTCTTCAAGTGTAGTCTGTGAGGGTTCGATTTGTAACCTTTTCTCCTATATCTCTTCTATAATTTTTTTCTTCTTATTGCACTTAGAAAGAATCATATCTATCTTTCTATATTTGATGGGCTGAAATGAATAACATTTTTTCAAAAAATTCTAATTTTTCGAAAAAGCTAAATTTCGAAAAAAATATTGAAAATATTTGTTTTTTTTTCTTAGGTTTTAACTCAAATAAAACCGCAATAATGCCCTGTTTTTGAGCCACGAATTTACGAATTTGTTTAAAATTTAATGATGGATGAAGAGGAGTGTATGTGTAGATATGTATTACGGGTATAGGCACGAGTATGTACATATATAAGCATACGTGCAGACACATTCTGATTATTTCGAAAAAAAAAAACGCGGAACTAAAAAAACTGTGTTTTGTATGCAACGGCTGCTGGTATTTTGGCTGCAACATAAAGGAGGAAGAAGAAGAAGAAGAAGGCTTTTGACAAAAGCAGGCCAATGAATGAACGCTTTTGGCCGAAAAAAATGAAAAGAATTTGGCATGCGTGGCTTTTATTCTGGCTTGTCTGCATTTTGCCCATTGCATACCTATGTATGTATGTACGAATACGTACATATATAACTAGATAAACCTACAATATTATATGGCACTCCACATCCGAACACAACCAAACCCCAGGGCTCCTAGCATTTCCATCATTAAATCGGAAAATTACTCTGCGTTGAAATACATACTTGTATATTTGTATATACATACATACATACGTACATATACATAACTCTTGAGTGGCCAAAAAAATTGGAATTCATGAATTATTTCATGAAAGTTGAAAGGATTCTTTTTTTTTCAAAGGAATTGACCAAAAAGTGAAAGAAATAAATGAAAAAAAGACTTCTTGCTATTCAATTTAACTTCACATGGAGCTGAGCTGAGCTGGCTGAAGCAAACTGTACTCCAAACCGCCTCTGAACAGCGGGTGTATAAGACGCTGTGCCACAACTAATTTTCAACGAGTGCATCGCTGAGCATGTATTCGATCTGCGGGCAAACCAGTGAGTTTTGTCAGATCGACTGGATTGCTGAGCCAGGTCGTATCAGTCCCCAATAGGACCTCTCTGCGATAACGATCGACCACTCTCTGCTATACCCCAATACTTTTTCTATCCTCTTGGACTAAGCTTGTAAAACCTCGAGCTTTGTGTATTGCTGTATTTTATTAGACGGGGATTAATTAGTGCGATCTTAGCTCGACTCTGGATCGACTATTTTGTTTATCTAAATTTCCTATAATTTTGGAGATTTGTACGGCCAGCACTCGGACTCCAAGACTATTCGCATAGCAGCATGCATTATTAGTTACTCACCTATTATTTGCGGGAAGCCTAGAGCTGTGCAACCGAGTCGAGGATGCCTGAATATAATTTGAAGGAAAGCTTTGTAATTCAGCTCGCTTCTAATGGGTTTTACATTCTTCATTATAGTTTCCAATTGGGACGTTGATAAACACTTAATTTCCTCTAACAATTCTAATGTAAGGTGTACGACAATATTATGGACAAATCAAACTCTGGCTAGCGCTAAGTCAAAAGAGAACTTTGTGGAACTTGTAAATGTACCTGAACATCTGCTCTAGAAGCTAGGTGAAGTGTAATGCAGAACCAACACAGGGGAGGACCAAACGAGCACGAATATTTTTGCCTGACTTACACTCGATTAAGACGTAAACTTTTTCACGTTGCTCTGAGCTCCAGCTTGTATGGATAGAGATTGGTAATGCGAATATGTGAAAGCCACTAAGCCAACCATTAGATCTAGCAAATTGTTTGCAAAAACAAAGTACAATAGGCCTACTCAATGGCTTAGGTGTCGTCAGCTTTTCACCCTACCAACCACGGACCACGGACTGAAAGTCGCTATACGAATTGAGGTGCTAGAAAATAGATTTGAGCAATCTTACTACTCACACGTCAGTCAGAGCGCTTCTGGTGCCGATAAACTTTTCTGGTAAGATTGTTACTTGATTCTGGAAGGATGACTTTGGTTTTACCTTTGATGTTATTTTTACATTTGACACTAGAGAAGACTCCAGTTTTTAACCAAATCTTGGCAACACAATTGGATGCCGTTCAAAGCCGTGGAACAACTATAAACTCATACAACTCAACACTCAATAGTGGAGGGAGGTTATATCAGTCCCGCATAGACGATTTCAGATTGCTTTTGCCGAAGAGACCTTAAGCATTTTAGAAGATATGATAGCGTGTAAGCTCTTACCTCCAAGTTGCCAGTTTGGGGGTCTTTTTGGGTTCCTGGTTGAGAGAGAAAAAAGTCAGAGCTCTTTTGGGCAGGACCGTTTAGAATCTATGTAGATTATACTTCGACCGGTGAGGAGATAAAAAAATTTAAAAAAAACATCAAACCACTAACTTTAGTTAAATTAGTTTGTTGCCATATTTTCACCACGCATTACCGTTATTTTCTGAAGGCACTAGCAAGCCAATAGCGAGTGGACACATTTTTTCAAAATTTTTTTTTTTTAATTTTTCACTTTTGAAATTTGGCAATATTTATTACCGGACATAAATATGCCGAAGTTTAGCACGAAATCTACGCATTTCCTAGTACTACCAACTCAACAACAACAACTATTACATGCAATAATCCTTTTAATTTTCTGCATTGAGAATGATGTATGAGACTGAAAGTGGCCAAATCGTGGGGGGAGGGGTTTTGTCTTACTTTTAAAATGTTGTTGTTATTGTTGATGTTGCTGTACATGTGAACCGTTATTATTTGTATGCGAAATTGCATTCTATGAGCAACTATACAACCACAGCTAGAAGAATATGAACAGTAGAAACACTCCTCAGCACACAGCGACGAAGGAGATATATAAATCACAAATTAAATGCTACAAAATGTTGCAAGCTTGCTCTATACAAACATATATATCGACAAGAATAATGTGAAAATTTCGGAGATAAAATTGTTCAGCATCTTTTTCTTGCAATATAATGTATATAGAAAAGAAGAGAAAGGTAAAGAATATAATGGTAGAGATAAAGGCAGATTAGTTTCTTGAGGATATATGCGAGTTTGAAAGTTTATTGCTTGACTTTTGAACTGTGAATTTAATAATAAAATATTAATTAGACCATTGTGGGCGTACATAAAAACATTAAATTCGAAATAAATAAAAAAAACTTAAAATAAAATGTAATGAAATAAAAAACACAATAAAATGAAATAAAATAAACAAAAATTAAATCAATTAGAATAAAATAAAATAAAATAAAATAAAATAAAATAAAATAAAATAAAATAAAATAAAATAAAATAAAATAAAATAAAATAAAATAATAAAAAAATATTGGAAATAAGAAAAAAGATTAAAGTAATAAAATAAACTAAAAGAAATTAAATAAAAAATAAAAAATTAAATAAAATAAATTAAAAAAGTAGTATAATAGGTTGAAATAATTTATAATAAATGAAATAGAATTAAAAAAAAATGAAATTCAATAAAATAAAATAAATAAAATATAATTGTAAAAATAAAAAAAAAAATAGTTGAAATGATGAAACAAAATAAAATAAGTAATTTAAAACAAAATATGATTAAAAAATGAGGAAAATTCAATTTATATTAAATTAAATTAAACAAAAAAATTAAAGAAGATATAAGACGAAATCGTTGAATATTTAATAAAATAAAACTACAATAAAAATAAAATAAATTAAATTAAAGAAATTGAAATAAATTAAAAGAAAAAGATTAGGAAAAATTGCGAGTTTTGTTCAAAGCCTTTTAGGCTTTAGA